ATCATCTCCCAAATATGATTTTTTATCGTTAGCTGGAAATATTTTTTAAGGATTGAAAAAATTAGGAAAGAAAAAAAATATTGTTGGTCTTTGAAAAAATACTCAAAGATTTTTTAAACAGAGCTATAAAATGTTAAAAAAAAAAAAAATTAAAATGGTCTTTGAAAGAAATACACAAAGAATTTGTTTTTAACACAAAGCTATAAAATATAATAATAAAAAAATTGTTTACAAGCTATAAAATATAAAAAAATCAGATTATTAATAAAATTCCAAACATTCTAACCCTGTGAAAATGTCCACGTATGTTAGAATTATTTAAAAAAATCACACTTATTAAGGAAAATCCTTAATTGTCAACATTCTTCAACAAATATAAAAAAATACAAGTGCCAAAATTTTTCATCGTAATTCAATAAATTATTTTTTTAGTAAATCATTGCTATATTTAAACGTTATTCTAGTTTTTTTTTTAATTTTATATTTTTTATTTCAATTTCAAAATAGTTCAATATATTATTTTTTTTTAATAAATCATTGTTCTATTCTTAATGTTATATTATTTTTGTTTATTTTTTTTAATATATATTTTTATTTATTTTTTTTCATGCTAATGAAGTGCATGAAAAATTCTTTTCAACCCAATTTAATGTCATAATGTTGATTTTCATAGACTCTCTTAATTTCTTAATCACATTAATTACATCAATCTACAACAACAAATATACATACATATCACATTAATATTATATTATCTACATGGGAATGTTAAACGACAATTTAACCCAATGTAAAACCAACCGACTCTCTGTTAAATGCCTTGCCGCCAGCAAACCATAAATGTCCCACTGTGTTTGAATAATAAATAAGACAGTCAAATGATACACCTCATTGACCTAACATCTGTTAATTTAACACCTTATCTTGTTATATCTCCCCAAAAACAACAGCGGCAGCAGCAGCAGCGACGGCGCATATTCTTCTCTGTAACCAACCAACCAACAATACAACAACAGGGCAACATAACAGAACACAACACAACAGGAAAAAATAAAACACCAAAAACAATATGTATTAAAAAAGAGTGTGCTGTGCAAGAGAGAATTGCAAAGATTTGCTACTGTTGGTCGTGTGTGAGAGAGAACGTGAATGGCATAATTTTATTTTGGCAATTATAATGGTTGGGGGACAGAGAGCCATTAAACCAGAGAAACTGTTGTAAACTTAAGAGAAGTAAAATTGGGTATTAATTTTGCTGCCCAACCACTACTTGGGATTTCAGTTAGGAAAAAAATGTTCCCCGTTTTTTCAGCTACTTGATTTGTTTATTCCATGGGATTTTTGTAAAACACGGCAACCCATTGTCTCTGAATGATTTTGTTTTCCTCATTGTTGTTGTTTTTATTATTGCTATTTACTCTATTCACACATTCTTCATAGCCAGAGCATTTTGGCAAAAGATACATACACACATTTATTTGCTCCCTCGCGCGTTCATTGAGCACTCTATGCATGTTGGTATATGTATGTCTGTCTGGATGTAGGTATGTATGTTTTGTACAATGACGTTGCGAACAGCAAGCAAGCAGCAGCACGACGATGAGACAACAACACACCACCACCATCATGAGACCATTTATTGGCGTATAAAATATTTCTCTTCCTTCCTTTTAACATTATCAACGTCTCGCGGAACAAGACAAGTTTTTTCGTTAAAATATCCATACAGAGTTTTTTCTTCTTCATCATCATTACAAAAACTACAAATTTGTAAATTACAAAAAAAAAAAGAAAATGCAGTGAAAAGTAATTTTATTTTAATCATTTAATTAAAATTATTTTTTTGATAAAAACGCCAGTGTTGGAAAGTGTTTTAATAAAAGAAAAAAATTTTTGCGAAAAAAAATTGAAGAATGGAAAAAAATCCATTAATTTTTTATTTGCTTTTTCCACATTTCAGTGGCACCAGTCGCGCACACACACACACCCATACACGATTCTCTCCCAAAAGCAAAAAAATTTATTCATCGCCCAAGTGAACAAAAACAAATACGATGATGTTGACGATTGACAAAGAAAATGAAATAATCAATTTTGAAATTTTCAAACAATCATAACTTAATTTTTCGCAAAAAAATCATATCAAGAAGAAGAAGAAGCATATAATTTCAATAAGAAGAAAAAAAGTATTTTTCCGTAACTCTGTGGCAGCAGTGTTGTTTTAACTCCCATATACACTCGCACAGACACACACACACATCTAGACATGCTCTATGCCTGTCTCTTTGGCACTCACACTCAAATCACATAGAGCAAATGTCGTTTTGACAGTCATCGGTAGGTTGAGAAAAGATAAAAAACGGACCGAAAGAAAAACAAAATTGCAAAAAACTAATAAATTCGCATAGTAATATTGTGTGAGTATGGGTGTGTGTGTTAAAAAAAATTAAAAAAAAAAAAAAATTTATAAAAAAGAAAGTTGCAAAATAATGAAAAATTAAAACAAAATTTATTTATTTAAAAAAAGTCAAATGAAAAATAACCAAAGAAAAGTTTTAAACAAAGTGTAATAATTTGTCATTTTTGTGTAAAAGTGTAAAGTGCAACAAAACAACAACAATTTAATTGAAATTATTTTTTTCGGATTTTTATACCCCAAATATAAATTAATCACAATAGTCTATAGTTTGAATCGTTGTTTCTCCCTTCGTGGTAGCCATTTTTATTTTTTCTCGTGCCTGCTTTTGTTATTTTTTATTTGCCGTATTTATTCTGTGTGTCGTCTTGTTGTATTCGTCGTCGTCGTCGCCACTGCCGTCTTCTTTTTTGTTGTTGGTGTTTTGCTGTTTTTTTTTTTTTTTGCCCCAGCCATATACATATTTAACCGTACGTCGGTCGGTAGTCGATACTTCATGCAAATCTCTTAAACTTTTTTTTCTCTACTGCTATTTCTTTTTCTTCTTCTTGTTGTTCCCCCACTTCTTTGTAAAAATGGCAAAAACAACAACGACGTAATCGCCGGACCAACCAACCTAACGACTGGTCGGTCGACCGAACAACAATTCGCCTGTTTGTCGATGGGTTCTATAGACATTTCGTGTTTATTCGCGGATTTTGTTGTTGTTGCTTGAAAAATACGCGTGTGTGTGCACCGAGGATATAGCAAACAACAACAATAGTAGGCCTGCACGAGTAAATTCACTTTAGTATATGTTTAGCACACTCTTCGGCCGGCTGGGTGGTGTGTGTGTGTGTTTGTGCGTGTTTAACAGAGAAACAAAAATCGCCGTACACTGCCTCTTCTTCTTCGTGTATTATACACTGTTGGCTGGCTCTGTTGTTTGCTTGCTTTTGTATATATTTTTCTGTAGTGTTTGTTCTCTGTTTTGATTGTTGTGTTTTCATCATCTTTTTCATTTACTTCTCCTTTGTCTTCGTTATTTGCTTTCGTCGCCGTGAGTGGTGCTGTTGTGTTTGAACGATTCTTAAATGAAAACATTTTACAACACTGGCAATAATTTGACAATTTTGACATAATCATTGAGTACATTCGTGAGTGTTGTGTGTGGTGTGTGACACAGTAGTGTTAACTCTTTCTCTCTTTGGGCGAGAGAGTGACGAGTAGACATCTCTGTCATTTTAATAAAGAATAAACGAACGACAGCTGTTCCATCATCATTGCCGTCATCTTTTTCCCAATTGAAATCTAAAGAAAAAAGTAACAATAAACAAATGTAGTTAAAAAAGTACAAAGAATGAAAGAAGAGAAATAAGAAGAAATAATATTTTTTGACAGAAATATATAAGGCAAAAACGGAAAAAAGAAAGAAAACTGGAGTGAACAAAATAAAATATTTAATGGAATTACAAATAGTAACAATTAATTACAATTGAAGGATAACAACAACCAAAATAAATTTTAACAATGATGATGTTTAAAAGATGTGAGTTTGTGTGTTGAAACAACTACAATAAATAAGTTAAAGTGTTATTAGCATTTATTTAAAAAAAAACCTTTTTGATTTGTGATTTTGACATTTGATTAGTTTTTCTTTTCTTCTATTTCCTTCCTTCCGTCCTCTCCATCGTGATTCTTCTTTATTATAAATGATTTTAATTATACATACATACTTTTGCTTTACTTTTACATGGTCGGTCGGACAGTCGTTCGGTCGGCTCGTCTTCTGCTCTATGTATTGTATGTATGTGTTGTGACACACGGCGGAGTATATAAGTATGTCAAATTCGAAGTAGTCAAAGAATCACTTTTTTCTTTCCTCTTGGTGATTTTAAGATTCCACCCTTAAAAATTCATTGAGTTTTTTCTTCTTTATTTGAATTGTGTGTGTGCGTGTGAATATCTTGCTTGCACATTTAGCATATCATCCAAGGATATGAAATTGGTTTCTTCAATTTATTCTAATGTCTGTCTGTTGTCTACTTCCTGAAATTTCCTTGGGCGACATATTAGTTTCTTCTTTGAGAAAAGTACAAAAAAGTCCTTAACCTCAAATAAATTTTGTATTCCATAAAATACTGTGACAATAATTTTTTTATTTAATTTCACCATAATACATAACAATAATCAATCTTATTAATTAATTGTGGCCATTGATTAAAATCTTAATCGTAAAGTGGCGAGAGAGTAATTACAGCTGCTGCAATTAGTAGATTACGTGTTATCATTTGACGTATGTAACGTATCAGCTGTGTTTACCTGTCATTGTTGGCTGGTTGGCTGACATTGGTAAAGCCCACGATTAGTGACAATTGTAACGTGCCTTTGCCGTAATGGCACGGGGGCAAACTTTAACTCTGATTTAAAGACAAAAGCACAAAGACAGTCATGTTTCCTTCTGACAGGCTAAGTAGTTTGTCTGCTTAACTTTTTGCAACAATTACATTGATAATTCCTTACATAATCGTATTTATTGTTTATTGAAAGAAGTAAACGTTATACTAATTAGCATTCTTCTTCTTTTTCTCTGATTTATTTACAGATGTCCGCCGGCGCTCAATTGCAGATGGCCCCACAGACATCGACGTCCATAAGCCATCATACAACACAACAGCAACAACATTTTGTTCATAATTCACAACAGCAGCAACAACAACAATCGCAACAGGCACTTTTGTCACAGGTCCAGCAACCGCAATTAATACAGCAACAACAGCAATCACAACAACAACAGCAGCAGCAACAATTGCAGCAATTGCAACAACAACATATAACACATTATTCCCAACAACAGCCCCAAACACTTGCCACAAATCCTCATACTTCACATCTACAACAGCAGCAACAACAACATCACCATCTACAGACACCAACATCGCAGCAGCAACAACAAACACATTCACAACAACATCTATTGCTGCATCATCAGCAACAACACAGTGGTGGTGGCCACAGCAGTAATCCTGACTCGAATATGAGCACTGGCTCTTCACACAGCGAAAAAGATGTTGTTAATTCAGACATGCTAAGTGCACAGCAGCAACAATCCAGCGGTATTCTACAACAACAAATTGGTATTTTGCAGCATCAGCAGACGGCAAACGTAGCAGTATCAACAGCTGGCAACAACGGTATGATGAATACTGGCGGCACTGGCGGTATGGGTATATCAGCAGATCCAAATGCCATGCAAACCACAAATCACCATCTTCCACATCAGCTTTCGCACCAGCCTCAGACAGTTGGTAGCAGTGGTGGTGGCGGTAGTTCAGGAGGCGGCGGTGTCGTTGGTAGTGCCACAAATACTGGACGCATGGAAAAACTATCACGCACTCCCACTGAACGAAAACGTAAACGAAAAATAACAGCTCTGCATACAGACGACAGTGGTGGTGCTGGTGGAGGAGGTGGTGGCGGCGGTCCCGGCGGCGGTAACGGAGGTAATAATTCAAGCAACGCTAGTAAATCAACTAAACACAACAATTCCTCGTCATCTTCTGGCTCACAGTTATTAAAAAACAATTTATCTCTAAATTTAGGTGCTCAACAGGATCGTCTTCAAATGCCCGGCTCTGGCGTGGGCGCTGGCGGCGGCAAGACACCTCGTCTCCTACCACCCGGTAGCGGAGGCTCTATAGGCGATAACAAAAAGATCAATGACTATTTCAATGCTAAGCTAAGTGTACAGTCCACAGGAGCCACTAATAGTCCTATGAGGCATACAGCTGGCGGCGGCTCTAAGAGTCCCTCATCGGCTGGCCCGCAACAACAGCAGTCGCAGCAGCAACCTGGGCCCCAGGCCCAACAAGTGCCAACATCTGTAGGCGGCGGTAATAGCGCGTATCCCATGTATCCACCTAGTCCACAACAACCACAAATTTCCGCACCTGGCGGTATACCGCCAACACCTACGTCACAACCCCCGCCTCCAGATTTCCATTACAGTAGTGTAGCGGCTGCCAACTCGGTAACGGGTAAGCAGCAAAGACAGCAGCAAACTTCCAATGCAATGGTTCCTCCGCAGTCACCCCTAGTTGGAGTGGGCGGTAATGTTGGTCTAATGTCGTCCTCCCACATGGCACACAATCAAGCTGCGGCCGGTTCCTTGATGGGAGGTGCAACAACGGCGGGCGCAGGTGGCGGCGCGGGCAATGGGCCTCCTCCACCACCCCTGCCACAGCAGCAGCAACAGCAAACTCTTCAACTTCCCGCCTCTTCCGTCGTTGCCACCAACGTGCAACAGACACTGACAACCTCGCAGCAACAGCAAATGGCCGCTGCAGCGGCCGCCCAACTCAATTCACTGCAACATGCCGGCATGCTCACCAACAATCCAGGTGGTGTACCACAAACGGTTGGCGTTAGTGGAGCGCCCCAGCCACAACCCTCGACATCGACGGTTACCAAAGCAACTCAAACCGATCTCTCTCAACACGACATGCAAGAACGTGAATCGGAGAGTGAATCTAGCAAATCAAAATTGGATGAGATGACAAGACTGTCTGATGAACAAAAATGTCAAATTATTGCTCATCAAAAACTAATCGATCAACACAAATCCCACATAGCCAAGTGTATTGATGTGGTCAAGAAGCTGCTGAAGGAGAAGTCCAGCATCGAGAAAAAGGAGGCTCGTCAAAAGTGCATGCAGAACAGACTGCGACTGGGCCAGTTCGTTACACAGCGTGTAGGTGCTACATTCCAGGAAAACTGGACCGACGGCTATGCCTTCCAGGAGTTGAATCGACGACAAGAAGAAATCTCGGCCGAACGTGAGGAAATCGATCGTCAAAAGAAGCAACTAATGAAGAAACGGCCAGCCGAATCTGGTCGCAAGCGTAACAACAATAGCCAGCAGAATTCCAATTCCAATGATTCCTCCAACATGAATGCTGGATGTGATCGTCTGTCGGGCAACGATAGCGGCATCAGTGGCGTTTCATCGGCTACGGGCGGTGGTGGCGGCAGTGGTCGTGGCCTATCACGATCCAATTCGACACAAGCTCAAAACCAACTGTTGCACAATGGCGGCAGTGGTACCAGCGGTACTGGCATGGGTTCAGATCGTTTATCGGATCGTGGTGGTGGCGGTGGTTCGGGACGAGGTGATAATTCTGGCAGTGGTTCCGATTCAGCAACGTTCCTTAAACCTGATCCCGTATCAGGTGTCTATACCGCTCAAGAATATTACGAATACGATGAGATTCTTAAGTTACGCCAAAATGCTCTCAAAAAGGAAGATGCCGATCTTCAGTTAGAAATGGAAAAATTGGAACGTGAACGTAATTTGCATATACGTGAATTGAAACGTATTTTGAATGAAGATCAGGTAGGTTTCGAAATGCAATCAAATTATATGTGATATGATTTGTATTTAATAATTGTGTTTTGTGTATTTTCAGTCCCGCTTCAATAATCACCCAGTATTGAATGAACGCTATCTATTGCTGATGCTTTTGGGTAAAGGTGGTTTCTCAGAAGTCCACAAGGCATTTGATTTAAAGGAACAACGTTATGTAGCATGTAAAGTTCATCAATTGAATAAGGATTGGAAAGAAGATAAGAAGGCCAATTATATCAAGTAAGCGAGAGAGAGAAGACAAATGTGGGAATGCTTGTTTGATAACTAATTGATTGTTTTCAAGTGTGGGTGGGAATGGGTGGAATTTTATTGATTAGAAGAGGAAAAAAGGAGATACAAAAACAAGTTAACATGGGATGTTAAATACGTATGACTGTCACAAAGGCTCGGTTTATATGATAATCTATTTTAAATAATTGTTTATTGAGGGAATTTCAATATTTATATCTGACTATAGAACTAGCTTACAATTCTGTTATAATGTACATTTAATAATCTTGCTTCTTTATTCTTCCAGACACGCTTTGAGAGAATATAACATTCACAAGGCCCTCGATCATCCCAGAGTGGTGAAATTATATGATGTCTTTGAAATCGATGCAAATTCATTCTGTACGGTTTTAGAATATTGTGATGGTCATGATTTAGATTTCTATCTAAAACAACATAAGACGATACCCGAACGTGAAGCACGTTCCATTATAATGCAGGTATGTGTTTGATATTGTTCTTATTTTAATAAATTGATTTATGTTAAAAAAATTGTTATCCGTTTTCCCTTTAAGGTTGTATCTGCTCTAAAATATTTGAATGAGATTAAACCACCGGTTATCCATTATGATTTGAAACCGGGTAATATTCTATTAACCGAGGGCAATGTATGCGGTGAAATTAAAATTACCGATTTTGGTTTATCCAAAGTAATGGATGATGAAAATTACAATCCTGATCATGGCATGGATTTAACTTCACAGGGCGCAGGAACATATTGGTAAGCAATCAATATGCATATATTATGATCTATGAGTGTATATTAATTTTGTTGCGTTTGTGTGTGTAATTTGTAGGTACTTGCCACCAGAATGTTTTGTGGTGGGTAAGAATCCCCCAAAAATCTCATCTAAAGTTGATGTTTGGAGTGTGGGTGTGATATTCTATCAATGTTTGTATGGCAAGAAACCATTTGGCCATAATCAATCACAAGCCACCATATTAGAGGAGAACACCATATTGAAAGCCACTGAAGTACAATTCCCCACTAAACCAACAGTATCAAATGAAGCAAAGGTAAGGATCTTGTGTGTGTGCGATTTATATAGTGGAATTATTTATTTATTTAATTTGTTTGTTACTTTTTTGCGGCAGAGCTTTATTCGAGGATGTTTGGCTTATCGTAAAGAAGATCGCATGGATGTATTTGCGCTGGCGCGGCACGAATACATACAACCTCCCATTCCAAAGCATGGCCGTGGTCAATCGCTGACACAGCAACAGCAGCAACAACAACAACAGCAGCAGCAACAACAGCAGCAACAGCAATCATCAGGTAATCAAGCCAATTCTGCCGGACAGACATCATTTTCAGCGGGCATGTTTGGCAATTTGAATCAATCGAGTTCGTCCTAGCTGCACACTAAACGTAATTCCAATTCATAATTGTTAAAGTTAATACAAAGTAATAGTAGTAATATCAATCACAACAACAACAACCACAACAACAATAATAATAATATTGGCCACAATCATCATCACCAACATCCTCATCAATATCAACAGGCATTACAACAACAACAGGATCATCATAGTACCAACAACCACAGCAGCAACAACAACAATAATAACAATAATCATCATAAACAACATCATATTACTAGACATCAAAATCATCAACATAGCAGCAGCATTATAAATCAGAATCTGAATATAAATAGCAGCAACAACAACAACAATCATTCTACATCAAGAATGTCGTCGTCGTCTCATCACAACAATATTCAACAACAACAACAGCAGTCACATAATCACCATCATCATACTACAAGAAGAACAAATGCAGCCAGCTCCTCATCATCTTCAACACCGCATACAACATCATCTACTACAACAATGCTGCCAACAACAACAACAACGGGTGGTATGGCAAACAACAATAATAGCAGTTTCGGTGGTGGCGGCGGTTATGTTGGTACAAGAAGTTTTCGCAATCAGCAACAACAACAACATGCCCTAACAACAATGCAACAGCAATGTCGTCAAAGCAAACAACAGCAACAACAACATAAAATGCTAACATTTTCTTAGGAAAAACAGAAGAAAAACAAAACATAAAAAGCAGAAGAAAGAAATGAAATAAGTTTAGGTTGAAAATTCTCCCCCCAAAAGAAAGTGATGTACACAGGAACACATTCCTCCTCTCTTGCATTATCTTGTATTAAAACATAGGAGGAAATTAACATAAAACTTTTACACTGCCGTTCGCCAGAATAGATTTTTATTTTTCCCCACATACAGAACTCTTGCAATGCAAAAGAGAATGCATGGGGAAATGATAATATTTTGGTGGGGTGTTTGTAGATATATGACGACGAACCGACCTTAGGCTAGCTACTACTTTAGTGCATTCGCGTTGGGTGTGGCTTTTTGTGTGTGGTGTGGTTGGATAGGTGGTCGAGCCTTTTCTTTGTGTAACGCCTTTGTTTAATAATTTCCTTGCTATATATCATTTGAAATGTTTTCATTTCATTTATTTTGCGCTTTAGTAAATTCTTCTCTAAAGCTTTCGCATTTACAAATGCCCCGATTTAAAATGATACGATACGAACACGATTCGATTCCAATTAAAAAGTAAATATTTCCACTTGTCTTCATCATTCTATGTAGACTAAAAAATGTAAACGTAATTTTAAGAAAACATTCCAGTATTGTTTAAAAAATATTTATTTGCTAAAAATTAAAATAACAACAACAACATTTTGCTGTTTGGCATCCCCGCTTGGTTAACGATTTATATCTGTCAACCATTTCTGTTTATATATTTATATAAATATTCAAAATAGTTCTCGAATTTTTTTTTGGGTGTTGTAATCGTTGTTTGTATCCCATTTGAATTTTATTACAAAGTTTCGTATGGGGATTTCGTATCGGAAATTTTATTAATAATGAGACATTTAAAACTGTACTGTAAAATGAATCTTCGATTTGGGGCTAAAATCATATGCTCCTCCCTCCACTCAATTATTTAGAAGTTTAGTTCGGAGAAATGCAATTCAATTTGAAAAATTTAAAACTATTTAATGAAATCCCACATAATGCCTTTGTAAAGCCATCATCCACCCCACATATAAAAAAAAATCCATTTTCGATTAATCTGCCTGAAAAATAACTTCTTTGAACCAATGCTGTAAAGACAAAACAAATGAGCTATTCCGCCATAATTTTCTTCTCTGTCTGTGTAAAATATGGTGATTCATTTTTAAGCAAAAAACAACAACAAACACAATACCAACCAACTGCAAAAGAATTTTTTAATTGTAAGTTAGAAACAAAAAATAAAAAATAAAAATGTTTAGCCTACAAGGATAATGTGAACGTTTTGATGAAACACAAAAAACAAGTAATAAAGCAACACATTTAATGAGAATTTCTGTGGATAAGATAAGAAAAAAAAACAAAAGAACAGCAGCAAAAAAACTAAATTAAAAAATTGTTTAAGAAACTTTGTTATATGGAAAAAAGATGAAAAGAAAAAAACAAGAAATATTCTCTGAGAAAAAATATATAAATATTAAAAAAAATCAAGATATGGAAGAGCAAAACAAAAATAAAAAAATTAAGTTAATTTACAAGCAAAAAAATAATTATGGTAAATTTAAGCCTAACTTTTAAATAATTAATTATAAAAACACACATATATAATATTATTATTATAATCATTAGATATAATATAAAAAACAAACATGGCAACAAAAAATCCGTATAAGAAATCATCAGCTTAGCAAAACAAAAAAGAAACTGTTAATGGAAAAACAAACATTCTCCTTCTCTTTAAACAAAATAAAATAGTTACCAAAATTATAAGAAATAATTATAATGAAAGAACAGAAACAAAAACCGAAAAACAAAATAAAAACAATCAAAAATTCATGTTTTCTAATAACCATCCCACTACCACCTAACCCCACATCAAAACAATCACCTGCACCAAATTCTCTCCCCCTTTCCTGAAACAAAAAGGCAGTAATAGGGTTTTCGTTTTATCTTTTGGGCTGGCTTTGTAAAAAAAAACAAAATGCCTTGCACGGCAAGGTATTTTTGAACCATGTGTGAGAGTGAGTGATAAAATGCACCGCAGAAATTTTTATTAATTATTTTTTATTACTAATGCTATTATTATTATTGAACTATAATGTTCAATTTACATTTACTTTTTATTATTATATTATTATTAAAAATTATGATTTTTTATTTTATTATTATTATTAATTATCCTTATTCATGTAAACGTTATACTTTTAAGTTTCTAAACGAATAGAATGTTTTTAATTGTAATTTAGAATTTTATTCCCACAAAAAGAAAAAACAACAACCCCAAAATAACTACAAACGAAAAAAACAAAATCAAGAAAAAAAAAACAAACAATGAATAATAAGTCTTAAAAAATACTATCATAACTACTAAGTGATTTATTAAAAAACAAAAAACCACACAACTATTAATAATTTTGTAAATAAAATCAGTTGTAAGTTATTTGGTAAAAATATTAAAAAAACACCTTTTTTGTTTTTTATTAGTTGTTTTATGGGAATTTCTAATGGATTACAAATCGAAATTGAGTGTTATACACTCAAGTATCACAATTTTTTTGAACAATGAATGTGTGTTCTCTTGTAGAATTTTGGAATATGGATATGTTTTTTTATTAGACGACGGGATATGTTATCCATAAGTCTTGGAAAATGTATCCATCTTTACCTCCATTACATATACACCTTGGTCAACATTTTTTTGATTATTTGGATAATTTTTTTTATCTACCAGCAGGATTTATCAACTACAATTGAAATCGTTTATAACGACACGACTATAGCTTATAAGAGATTTCGACTGTAATTGGCACATTTTGTCTTCACCATTTAACAATTTGAATATTTTTTATAAAATTGAGAATTTATTGTTATGGAATTTTGTACCATTTCCTACTTGTGGAATTTTTTATCCAATGTAAACTTTTTTATTAAAAATCTGAATAAAATTGGTCAATGTAATGGAAAAAATGTATCCTCCTATATGAAACTTTTCACCACCATCCACCATGTTGATTTTTTTATTCAGTGTAACAGTTTTTATCCACAAATGTGGATAACTTTTAATATAAATTATTTTTAAATATATTTTTATCCAACATTTTGAATAATTATTTCAATGAATTCAATGAAATTCACAATTTTGAATAAATTGTATCCACCATTTTGAATACATTTTATCCAAAATAGGTTATAGCTATTCACCATGATGTAATATTTTCATTTCTCCATTTTTTGACAAAATGTGTATCCACCCTTCAGGACAAAATTATTATCTACCAATGGATAATTTATTTATCTATAAATTTTGATAATTTTGTATTCAAAAATTTGGATAATTTTCTATTAAAAAATTTGGATCATTTTTTTATCCATAAATTTAGATAATTTTTTTATTCAAAAGTTTGGATAATTTTTTTATCCAAAAATTTTGATAATTTTTTGTCCAAAAATTTGGATAATTTATCAAAAAATTTGGACAATTTGTTATCCATAAATTTGGATAATTTTTGTATCCATAAATTTGGATAATTATTTATACACAAATTTGGATATTTCTTTATCCATACATTTGTATATATATATTTTTATAAAATTGGATATTTTTATTCATAAAATTAGATAATTTTTATCCAAAAATTTGGAATATTTTTGTTTACATAAATTTGCATAATTTTTTTATACAAAAATTTGGATAATTTGTTTATCCATAAATTTGAAACTTTTTTTATTTCTAAATTTTTCATAATTGTTTTCAAATATAATTTCGAATTATTTTTTTTTTATTTTCCATGGTGGTTATATATTTTAACCAAATTTTGGATAAGAAATATAGAATTCATATCCAAAAATTTGGATAATATTTTTTTTCACCATAAATTTTGATAATTTTGTTTATTTATTTTTTATTTTTGATAATTTTTTATCCATTAATTTGAAAATTGTTTTATTTCTAAATTTTTCACAATTGCTTTCAAATATAATTTCGGATTTTTTTCCAAGGTGGTTATATATTTTACCTATATTTTCTAAATTACAATTAAAAACTATTTTAAAATAAAAGGATTATTTTTGTAAACAATTTTTGTAATTCAAAATTTGACTTTTCAAAATATTGCATTTCAATTACACAATTTTACACCCAGCCAATGAGAAAAAAACTCTAAATAAAAATGCCAAACGAAACAACTCCTGCTATTCCCCAAAAATTCTCTTCCCCATTATCCTCCAACTCTCAAGCCCCCACAAAATCCAACAACGAAAAAAAAATTATCAAAATAATGAAGAAAAAACCTACTTCCAGCCACTTTTTCAGATAAGAAGAAGAAATAAAAACAACATCCCAGCCATAGTTAAATGAAAAATAAAATTGGTATGCTACACATAAAAATATACATATATGAAAAAAGAAAAAAAAAATTAACAACAAATTACAATAACAAAACCAACTTGTTCTTCAATATTCCAAACATATAACAAAATTAAAAAAATACTAAAACAAAATAAAAAAAATGTTGATGAAAACTAAGGCATGAACAACAAACAAAAAGTGAAAAATGGTATAGTAACACACTTTGCAACAACAACAACAGCAAAATTTAGATTTTTAAGTTTAGCTTTAAATAAATTAAAAAAAGCTAAATTAAAAAAAAAAAAACAAAATATAAATATAATATATAAAATAAAATTCCTCCCCTACTCCTTTTGTACATAGAAAAAAACACAATTGATCTTTATATATAAATATAAATATTAAAAAAAAGAAAACTTTACGGAACAATAACAAAAACCCAAATTGAATAGATTTTTTATAATTAAGTTTTTATTTTTTTTATTTCATAATTTTCCTTTTATTTTTTCTTAACATTTAAGTTAAACTAAAAAAAGAAAACAAAAAAATATGCAAAACATTTTTCCTTTTTATTTAGCCATTAAGAAGCCTGCATATATATATAAGTATATAAAACTATTTTTTTATATAATTAAGTATAATATTAAATATATATTTGTACTATTACTATTATTAAATAATTATTACAGTTATATTTAAAATAATAACAATTTTTATATACGTATTTATTTTAAATATGTGTATTTCTAATTTTTTTCTGTTTAGTTTTTTTGTTTCTTTCTTTGCATTTAATTTAATTTTCATTTTTTTGTTTGTTTGAATATTTATTTTATGTTTTGTTCAATTATGGGAATATTTTTTTATAAGTTTTTATGTTTTTTTTTTGTGGTATAAAACTTTAAACAGATTACTTTTAAAAGGTGACATGGACCACTGTGTAAAAATGATTGGGACTTTTTTTATTCCATAAAAATCTATTTTTTAATTGAATATTTTCCCTGGAGACTTTTATTATCCGTTATTGGATATTATTCGAATTTTTATCCCATAAAACTTTTGATTGAATATTTTCCCTGAGGACTTTTGTGGTCCGTTATTGGATGCTTCAGCCTCTGCAATCCGTTATTGGATATTACGTATTTTATAAAATAAATATCAAACATTTTTGTTTCAATATTTTCAATATAAAACATTATACGCCTCAAGGTCTGGCTATTAAAGTCTAATTGTAGGCCATCGCTTCTTATAAAATATTTTCTGCTAAAACACAAAAAAAAAAAAAAAATAATTTTCTGGTCTGGTCTTCGTCCGTTCGTAGCTTAGGTTTTGCTGATTCGTAAAAATTGTCCGATTTCAAGTATTCATTCTTCAATACCTCCAATACATTCTTCAATGCCTCCAATACATTTCGAACAAGTCACTTTATAAACATTTTTTTTTCATTTGGTATTCATTTTAAATTTATTTTCTTTGATTTTGAGTAGTTTTTTTTTAATTTTCTTTGAAACACAAAATGCTTATAAAAAATAAATAAAAAAATTACAAAAAAAAAACAATATTTGTTGAGTATTTTATTATTATACATAATAACATATATAAATATATAATTTAAATAAATTAAAAAAAACAATAATTAATTAAATTATTATATATACATATTAAAAAACACACAATAAAAATAAATATAAAAAAACTTTCTCCCCCCAAAAAATAGTTATTATCTAATATATAAATAAATACAAATAAATAAAAAAAAACAATGAAAGAAAACAAAACCTTAAAAAATTTTAGCATATGTCGTAAATTAAAAAGTAATAAAAGTAAATATATTTAATTAAAATAAATATAACCAAACATTACCACAATAACACTGAAATGTGTAACTCCTCCTCCTCCCCCAAACTCCTTCTATACATTTCAAAGAAAAAAAATATATATACATACATTAAACTCATATACAAAAATCACACATACACACACTCCACTTTTCTCTCTATATACTCTCTATTAAAAAAAGAAAACAAAATATATATAAAAAATAATAATGCAAAAACAAAAAACTATATTTCAATTTTGAAATTATTATTGTTTAGTATAAAACATAAATAAAATTAAATTTAAAAATAAAACAAAAATAATGTATGCATAATCTAATTTAAAAAAAAGAAAAAAATCTCTAGGATTATCATATATAAATTAAATAAAAGTAAATATTGAAAGTCCCCCCATCTCCCTTAAAACAAGTCCCCCATACCAACCAACAATATTTAATGAATGAAAAACAAAACAAAAAAATGCATTAAAATAAATTTTACTTAAAAAAAGTATGAAAAAAGCAAAAAAATTAACAAAAACAAAAAAATCAAGACATAAATAAAAAAAAATTTACAAATTATTTAAAAATAAAACCAAAAGGGCGTTTCATTTTCAATAATAAATGTGATAAATAAAATATAAAATTTGGAGAAAAATAAGAAATCGGAAAGTTTGCCCTGACTTTTATATCCTGACTGACTTTTTATATCGTCCACCAAAGATTGAATTTTATATTTTATATATTAATTTTTATATAGCGACTTGGGCTAGGACCGTGGATATATTGAAAATGATCCCTGACGATTGAAATTCATTTCCAAAATCCTTATTATCCAAAATAGGGGTAGATGGGTTGGTTGTTCCTTAACTAACTAGTTTATTGGAACTATTCCAAGTTCATTTTAATTACCCAGATTTTTAAAAGCAAAAAATCATTTTAATTTATTTTTTTATTTGAAATGAGGTAACGACTTATTTGCGCCTAAGAGTATGCTTTAAACTACAATTGTTTTTGAATGCAAACAATTTAAGTTTACATATGGCAACCCTGGTAATGTCATGTTTATAGCGCCATCTATTGAATGACATGATTAAAAATCGTAAAACCAGGGCTGAAAAGTCCCGGACTGTACCAAAATAGTTCGACTTTTTGATAGAAATTTTAGCAGTTTTCTGTACAAATAACACCGTGTCATAATCAGGAGAGTGTTGGATATATCCTTCACCACCTTTTTTTAAATAACTTTCTTATTAAAATACAAAAATCACGAAAATAATGGATATTTGACATTTGTACCTCATTTCTCTAGGGACGAAATAAAAACACAATCGAATGTTATGAACGACAGAGGGAACCCAGAGTATCATCCAACAGGAGTGGACCGATGGGTTCATTCTTCGAACTTGGTCTAGGTTAGGTAACAGATTCACGATTTGCAAAGTTTGGATTAAAATGGACCATAAATTCAATGCATATTGGCTTTACAAACTTTAAAAACTTTGAAACTTCGTGGGGGAGATATCATGGAGTAATGGACCCCACTTTTAGACTTGATCTATGTTTGATCTATGTGTAAAGTTTGAATGAAATTAGGCATTCCGCTCGCTACATACGAAATTTAAGAATATTCAAAATATTGACCCTTTGTGGGGTACTAGTAGGTGTGGACATATTGACACCTGTTCAAATCGGATAGTCCTGTTAGACATACATGCAGTTCAGAAATAAATGTTTTTACCCGAATTCTTTTTAAGGCTACAATAAACCTTAATATTTGTTATTAAAGTCAAATACAAAATTTACAAAAATTGTTCAAAACCATTATTCAGAAGTTCTGTACACGATGGCATTCAAATCGTATAGAAATCGGCCTTAAATTGTATGAAAAAATTGATTTTTATTATTTAAAGACATGAGAGTTCCGAGACTTTTCAGTTTTGCCATGCGATTTACAATCATACGTATCAATAGATGGCGCTATTTACATGTCTTTGCCAGTGTTGCCAACATATATTAAAATATAGGGACGATTTAGAAATATTGCATTTTTAAGCATACTTTTAGGCGTTTGAAAATGTCAATTTTATTTAATAACAATTTGGAAATTATTTTTTTTTAATTTCTATATTAAATAATAACAAAAACATACATATTTTTTATTAAATTTAGTTCTGGAATGGTCACATCCAATGATTTCTTTTAAATTGGGAAACTGGTAAATTTATTTGTTTAATTCCTCGTAGACAGCCTGAGCTACAGTGGCATCTTCAGCAGCAATTCCCATCGATTGGAAAATGGTAATACGATTTTGTTCCTGACGTTGACCTTTATTGCGTATTACATCACCAATTTCTCCAACAATGTTCGCCTTTAAGCCTTTCAGTTCGGTTTGGGCACTGACCAATGAATCGACATACACCACACCATTATCGTAAATATCCTGAGCAACCTCACCGAAATGTACCTGGCCGGCACCAACGGCTAAAAATATAATTAATGGAAAGAGATAAAAATAAGAAATTAACGATTTTTTAAGAGAGCTATAGGCGTGTATTTTTTAAAACAAATTTTTCAAAGGACTATCTGAGCTATAGAAGTGGATTGTTAAAGAATATTTTTTTAAGGATTCTCAGAGTTATAGGCGTTGATTTTTAAAGAATATTTTTTTAAGGACTATCAGGGCTATATACGTGTAATTTTTAAAGGGCTATCAGAGCTATAGACGTGGATTTTAAAGCATATTTTTAAAGGACTATCTACTTATCTACTATCTACTTTTTAAAGGACTATCTACTTACTATTAATATGAACATTATCCCGCTTCAGCATGCTGTAATTAATCAAAGCTGTCGGTGAATAGGTTCCAACACAAATAACATCAGCTTCACGACATGCCTCCTCTGGCTTTTCACATATATGCACCCTTAAGGCATTGGGAAACTCTGCTCGTAATTTTTCACCCAGCTGATCAGCTTTTGACTTGGTACGATTCCATAGATAAATATCGATAACATTGAAGGTTTTACACATTCCCATGGCATGCGATTGTCCCTGAACCCCACAACCAATGATGGCAACACGAATCGCCTTATTTGTACCCTCGGGATAACGGTGCAGATATAAATATTTTGTTGCAGCCAATGAAGCAGAAGCTGTACGCCATCCGGTTATTTGTGTGCCATCCATAATACATTGTAATTGTCCCGTTTCCGAATTGAATATCAATATATTTGCCAAAATATTCGGAAGGGGTGGTGTTAATTTTTGATTGGAGGAGAACGAAGTCACCAATTTGCAGGCAAGAGTGTTGGTGCGTTTATCGTTCAATTTGTAGTTGCCGACGAAACCTGGCATAGTAAACAATATTTTGGATCTATCACCACAAGAGGTCAATGTTCGTGCCGGTTGTATGGCAAATGAAGCATCAGCATCTTGAGGATTGGCTTCCGTGGGACCCGTTGCTCTAAGGGCTTCTTCAACTGCTGAATTCACTAAATTCCATGTCAGAACTTTAGCAACTTGTTCGGCGGAATAATATTTTGGGTGTTGTTGTTGTTGTCCGCTTGTTTTTGTGTCCATGGTGTTGGTGGTTCGCGTTTTTATGATCACTTGCTTAGACTCTTGGGTTTATTCCGACCCACCATTTGTTTATATAGCTTCGCATAGACTGTCAATCGCTATACACAATTTATCACGACACACATAATCGGTATTTTGCAGTGTATGTGGTTTTTGTTGTCATTGTTTTTTATTTTTTCTAATTAAAACAAGTTCTTATCAATGCTGTGGTGATCGTAGGTATCATAATATTCGATAGCAATCAAAAAAATCGATATTTTGTGAAATTTGTACAGTACTTAACAATTTAATCGATGCAGTAAGGTTTGTGCAGTTGATAAAAAAGCCTTCTTACGGCCGTTAGATGTCGCACGTGAAATAAAAAAAATAGATGAAGTCTCTTCATCGAAAGCTATAAGCGCTGAAAGATAGGATTTTTCATTAATAATTTTTGAAGAAGCTGTCAGTATTACAAGCGTAGACTTTTAAGAATATTTATATATATATATATATATTTTTTTTTTTTTGAAGGACTATCGGACCTATAGGCGTGCATTTTTAAAGAATATTTTTGAACGGATTATTAGAGCTACAAGCGTGGACTTTCAAATAATATCATTTATAAGACTACACAGCAATTAGCGTTGGGGTTTTATTAATATTTTTAAAGGACTAACAATTATATTTTTAGGATAGCACTGATTAGAACTGACAGTGCTATCAGTGCTAAAAGCGTGGATTTTTATGATAGGGTTTGAAGGATAAATGCATGCATTTTAAGTAAACTTTTCTAAAGGGCGATAAGGTGAAGTGTATATTAAATTTGTCATTCCCTTTGCAACTGCTCGAAATATTGCAACCAAGTCATCTGCCGGACAAAACCCCTTCATTTTGAAGAAATAAAAATTTTGAAACAAAGTTTTAAGTGCAAAAATATTATTTATTCAGTCGTTTATAAGGATTATAAAGTATTAATTTCATATCATATTTACATAATTTGTTGTTAGTAATCGATAGCATAAACACGTCCTTTAATGACCTCTGCGCATCTTCATGGCATGGAGTGAATTAAATGATCAACTATGTCGTTTGGGATTCTATCCCTCTGATCATTCAGGGCAACATAGAAATCCTAATTTTTTTAAATTGATTTCAAAATTTTTCGTTATAGAATTTCCCAAAGTTTCTCTACGTGTCTGAGCAGGCCAATCAATCACTCATAATTTTTTATTGTATATCCTTTGTTTTGTCCAACTTAGACGCGTACTTGGGACTTGGTGCTTGGGCCTTTTGGCCTACGCACCAGACAGCTGAATCCGAACTGTGCAAATTAAATTTGATTCAACAGAAAAGAGAACACATTTCCACTTCTGAACATACCATTGGAGTAATTTTTTTTTTGCAAAGTGAATGCGAGCTAACCTATTTTTCTTTGCAATTAATGGTTTATTAGAGTTCTGTATGCTCGAAATCCGAATTCTACGGCTCTATCCTAGATCGTTTGCGTTGATATATCCAGTTGAAATGATTTTTTATATCTTTGGATGTTATATGCATAAATTGTTGTATAATTTTTTTTATTTTCCGATCCACTTTTGGTGTATCGTACATTCCTCAACTATGCACTGTTTTCGCGTTTCTGCTTTCTATGACACGGAATACTGTTGATTTATGGATATTACTCTTATACTTATCAGATATATGCTTTTGGTATACACTTTTTTATAATCGTCGATAATTTGTTTTTAAATGTGTTCATTATATTTTATGTCGCCTATTTTATCGACCTTTTCAGAAATATAGCACTTGGGTATACACCGATCATTTTGTTACGATATTATGCAACCAGCTCAATATTTTTTTATATTCGGTGGAAAATAATAATAATATATATAAATAATTTTTTCTAGTATAATTTTGACGGATGGCGTGTTAAAGATTGTTTTAAACATAGGAGAGGCACTGCATATTCTTGATAAGAATTAAATTCTAGGCCGATTCCGTTTCCGTCTGTCTATCTGTTGACATCACGAAAGAACTCGCAATATTTAGGACAGCGCCATGAAATATTGCACTGACATAATAGATAATTTATCTGATTGGACCTCAATATTGTTTTGTTCCATGTTTCGGGTACCTCAGTACCTCGCAAATGTAGTTATTTTGCGGAGTTTTAGCAACTTTATCGATCAAATTAGCTGTAATTTTATATTTTCGACTTTCATTTGGTAGAAAATCTCTCTAACTGCAGTCGGCTCGTTGAAGATCGGCTAGCTGATGTCGGCTTCTTGAAGATCGGCTGGCTATAGGCGGTTCGAAGATACTCGGCTAGCTGATGTCGACTCGTTAAAGATCGGCTGGCTACCGTTGGCTCGTTGGTGATCGGCTGGCTACAGTCGGCTCGAAGATACTCGACTAGCTGATGTTTGCTCGTTGAAGATCGGCTGGCTACCGTCGGCTCGTTGGTGATTTACAGGATACAATCGGCTCGTTGTTGATCGGCAGGATACAGTCGGCTCGAAGATACTCGGCTAGCTGATGTCGGCTCGTTGAAGATCGGCTGGATACAGCCGGCTCGTTGTTGGTCGGCTGGTTGGGGGTTTCAGGGTTCGGGTTTTGTCAGGGTTCGGTTAGTAGTTAGTGGTTATTAGTGTAGAGCTGGCAAAGAGCGTGGAGTTGGCTATGAGCGGAGAGCTTGCAAAGAGCGAGGAGCTGGAAAAAAAGCGGGGAGCTGGTTATGAGTGAGGAGCTGGCAAAGAGCGGGGCGCTGGTTATGAGCGAGGGGCTTGCTATGAGCGAGGAGCTGGCTAAGAGCTGGCGACGAGCGAGGAGCTGACAAAAAACTAGGAGCTGATAAAGAGGTAGGGGCTGGCTATGAGTCAGGCCGAGCCGTAGATAACATTCACCAGTATATGACTGCAGACAAGCCACACATCTTCGTTCGTAGTTCGTTAACGTCCGAGGTCGACCACTTCGGCATGGAAAAGTGGAACATATATCCGTATGATACTATGAAGTGAATGAGAATTATTGTGTACTTCAAGAAAATTGTCTGTCGATAAGTGCAATGCAGTTGAAGAACGCAGGTTTAGGTTTAGAGTGAGACGTTATTCACTACTAAATTTTGAGGTGGGTTGACATTGTGCATACTGTATGAAACGGTCACGTTACACGGTACACTCAATATTCGGTATTCTGGCACATATTTGATATTTAATATGATAATTTGGTTTCTCATTTGGTGTAAACTTTTCCTACCAACAATTATCCATGTCGGTCCATGATTTATTTTATTTGATTGCGGTATTTTGCTAATTTGTGACACCTTTTGAACTTAATTACCTGTCATTATAATTTGTGGATCTCATTGGGTGGAAAAATCTCTCTTATTAACAATATCAGTGTATGACCAGTTAAAGTCTCCATAGAAGGATCCTCCTAATTTACGTTATGTTAAGGATTTCAGGCATATTTTTCAACCGAGTTGGCTCGATAAAGGCTCGATAAAGGTTACACGATATTTTCGGTATGTTGAAGATCCTCGGCCAAAATTTTTAACACTTTAGAGCTTTAACTCCACTCTGAGTAAAAATATTATTAGAAGAATTCTCTAAGTCATTATTCGTGACATTGAAATAATTAAAATTTTTGGAAATATGTGTATTATTTTATTTTATCATATATTGATTGATTGATTAACAACTAATAACTTTATTGTCTATTTTTGTGCATATTTCAATTAAATTGTTTTATGTACATATAATCTCTTTATTTTGTTTATTTCTATTCGACACCATTTGCAAGAATAATTCCAGACATACAAATATTATAACAGCTGTTATAATTAGATATGCCAATATTAGTACGTGATCGGGGCAGGGTTGTGGGATTGTTGTTACCACCAAAGTGGGTGGAATGTAGGCCGATGATACACTTCCAAGAATACCGCAAATCACTGTAAAAAAGTATTTATTACTATAATTTTTTTCTTATAAAATATTTTTTTTCTCACCGCCCGCCAAAAATTTTAATTTGAAATTAAACATTTTTGTAGAAAATTTAAAATTTAATTTAATCTACTAACTGAATTTGGTTTTAATATTAAATCGACTGTTTTATATAAATTCACATTGTGGACGCTTATCGATTCGAAAGTGACTTTTATTTACACAGTTGTAGGATTTCTTTTATTGGCAATATGGAGTCAAAGAACGTTTACAATTGAAGATGTTTTGTAAAGAAAAAAAGTGAGTATGTACATATTCACAAAAAAATATATAATGCATTTAAGGTGTCTTGTGGCATTACGTTGATTTTTTTCGTGTAATAAACCTATTAAAGGTTAACGCTATTATTTAATGATTTATGCAATATACACAATTTTCTGAAGTATAAAACTTCTTATAAAATGTCAGCTGATTTGTTTTTTTAAAAGGGTACATTAGATCGCAGAATATTTATATTATTGAAAATTCACCCAGTCTGTATTGTTTTATTTGTGACTAACACAATTTTGATGTGCATAAAAATGTAAATAGATTTCCCAATGTACAGTGGCGCCGATGTGGAACTTAGATTTCTATGCTGCTTAAGCGCAGAGTTATTACGAAGGAGGTATTCAATTGCCTATTCCACCGCATAGTTTCCTGTCTTATGGTATTGGATTTTGGATTAATTATTTTTAAAGTGTACCATTTTTTCCTCCTTAATACCGCAAAATTGGGAGTACCCTTATATTCCCTAAGGAAAAAAATATTTATAATTTTTAAAAATTTGGTACCCAATAAGAACCCAATGTACGAATTTTTTTGCATGGTAGTGAATGATTTTGAAATCTTTATATAGGGAGCTATGCATAAACGTGGACCGATAAAGCCCATCTTCGAACGCTGATCAAGAATATATATACTTTTGACACTGCAGATTGGACAATTGGGCTAGGACCTTATGGAACATGATGTATGGAGGCTATGTAGAAAAATGGAATTTTACCGAAAATCAGTAAGGAAAGTAGTAATGTCGGACTGGCCCGACTATATGATACTCTTCACCACTTTGAATATATTATACATATGTATCCTAACAGACGTCGCCTTTTCGACATGAAATTTAACTAACATAAATCAAAATCTAACCCGATATTCTCGAAACTTAACATACGAGCTATGGAAGGAACATATATCAATTTCAAAGACACGAAAATCCCCATGAACATGCAGAACAACATCAACATCAAGTGTAAATAAAAATACAGAAAAAAAACACAATACACTTGTCCTGAGTGAACAAATATATAAAAGCGGTTGTTAGAAATACTTAAACATACAAAACATTCAATTATGGTAACTTCAGTACATTGTATGAAATTGTGTGCCGGTCGGCCAAACTTTGGGTCTTTAGTGCACAATTTACATTAAATTGGACGAAAATATATATATGGGAGCTAAATCTAAATCGGAAGCGATTTTCACAAAACTTAGCACACATCATTCTGGATCTAATTCAGTACCCTATGCCAAATTTCGTGCAAATCGAAAAATATATAGGGACTTTGGAGCCACATTTACCTTAAATCGGACGAAAATAAATATGGGTTCTATATATAAATCTGACTTCTCGAAATTTGGCACACGTCATTCTACACTCAATTGAGTACCCCGCGCAAAATTTCGCGTATATCGAAAATATGTAGGGGCTTTGGTGGACCATTTACATAAAATCGGACAAAACTATATATGGGAGCTATATCTAAATCTGAACCGATTTTCTTGAAACTTAGCACAAATCATTCTAGACTCAATTCAGTACACCGTGTCAAATTTCATGCAAATCGAAGGATATATAGGGACTTTGGTGCCCCACTTACCTTAAATCGTGCAAAAATATATATGGGAGTTATATATACATCTGAACCGATTTTCTCGAAATTTGGCACACGTCATTCTAGACTCAATTCAGTACACTATGCCAAATTTCGTGCATTAAATTGGACGAAAAATCTTGGCCCAATTCAATACTCTGTGCAAAATGTTGGCTCAATCGGAAAAATATTGGGAGTTTGGTGCACCATTTACCTAAAATCGGACGAAACTATATATGGGAGCTATATCTAAATCTTAACCGATTTCAACGAAACTTGGCATACATCAATCTGGGCCTAATTCAGTACTCTGTGCAAAATTTTGTCACAATCGGACTAATATTGGGTGTTTGGTGCACCATCGGACGAAACTATATATGGGAGCTATATCTAAATCTGAACCGATTTTCTCCAATTTCAATAGGGTTCGTCCTTGAGCCAAGTAAGTGACATGTACCAAATTTCATTCAAATCGAATCATAACATGCGTAAATCGACTCAGAAGGTGATTCTATGCATATTCTCAAAAGGAACCATGAGTCTATCTCGTTTCTTTATGCCTTTTAAAAACATATGCACAAAGACATAATAACCTGTACCACGGTGTGGTGAAGGGTATAAAAAGGGTGTTATATGGGGACTAACCTCAAAAGAGACGAATATAAATAATTTTTGGAAGGGAGATTAGTTATCAAATATGACTACAAAATATCAAATTACATCGAATTCGGTTTGGAAAACGAAAACTCGGGGTATGAAAACTCGATGAGTTACATCCAATTTGCTTAATAAAATTTTTATGAAATCCTCAAAGGCCAATGTTAGAAAAGGTTTTCCAATGAGATGGAGATTTTCTGATGAAGAATATATTTACTTTATGGGCCTTACGATGAATATTTCGAGGTGTTGCAAACATAATGGCAAATTTAATATATGTACACTCAAGAAGGGTATAAAAAGAAGGTGCCTCTTGTCCTGCTGGCATATCAATTGTCACTAAATAAAATCTGTTTTTGAAATTAAATATATTCCTTAAAAGAAACACTTGAGTAAACAATGAAAACATTTTTCGAAATAAAATCTGATCACAATCAGAACTATAACAACAAATAAGTTCAGTTCGTTTTATAATATAGGAACAAACAGTTTTCAGTTTCATACCAGGGAAAATGTTGTCCATCAGATATCCAAAAGTTTATTTAATCTCTATTATCTTTGGTAAGATAGATTTTTAGACAAACATCTTTGACACATAATAAAAAATATAAATTTGATGTAGCCATGATAATGACAATAGAAATAACAGGGGCTCAAGAAATTATGGAAATCATGGCAACAGATCCGACGATAATAAAACCAATAGAAGGTCCTACCGCTCATGTGACAGTAAAAGTGACTACGACTACTACAACAACGAGGCCAACAATAAAACTCCCCAAAAACCATGTTTCATCCAAGGGGAAGGGTCACAATCACGATGGCAAAATGAAAGTGATAATGATGTCTTCAAAGGCAAAAGGGAAACACCATGACAGAATGAAGCAAAAGATGCATGCCAAATGTATGTCGAAGATGAAAATGTGAATAAATTACTTTTTATTTAATTTAGAAATAACGTTTGTTTTGTTTTACTATTGGATTAGTCCATATTACACCATTGCCTTCGGAGAGAGGCTATTATTTTTTATAAGCAATTATTTCCGAATAGGGCATTAAATTTTAAATCATATTCATTTTTCCCATATTCCAAAAGTTATGCAACATTTAAGAAATTATTTTTTTATATTTTTTTAAAATTAAATTTAATTATCCACACGTCATCTTTGATGTTACTACGAGTATTAAAAAAATCATGACACAAAACATTTATTGATTTTCATCTTCTTTATTAACAATACAGAAAAAGTCATTTAATTGCCTTAATCTAAACATTAGCTGTAAGTAACTCTTCCATACATGCACATACAAATATACATACAAAAAATATCGTATAAAAAATAAAAATTAAATAGCTTCTAAACTACATACATACAAACAAATATATCACCTGGGAATACACTTGGGAGTATTATAATCGATAATTGAGATTTTCTCTTTAATAACTTCTGGCATATGCCGAAGATGTTGCCGAGGCACTTGCATATGCACCCGAATGCGATTTTCCTCCACCGGCACATTTTGCACAACTTCCTGCTGGACCATTACCACCGCCATCTGAACCGCCTGCACTGCCGGGAAAACCAAAGCCAAAGGCTCCACTACCAGCAGAGGCAAAACTTGAAGCACTGGCACCGCTAAAAGCTCCAGCGCCACTGAAATTGGGTATTAGCCCACCCAATCCACATAAGCCGGCTGTGCAAGGAGCACCACCTGACTCACCGCTGCCGTGTTTGCCGGAACCTTTGCCGCCACCGGAACCATAACCGCCGGGACCTCCAGAACCACCACCATAACCGCCTGGGCCTGCGGGATTACCGCCAGAACCGGATCCACCATTATGAGCCCCAGGTCCTCCAGAACTTCCGGGTCGCCCGCCATGACCACCTGGTCCCCCAGGACCTCCAAATCCTCCAACTCCGGAACCAGCTTCTCCGCCCGCTCCACCACCACCACCGTAACCACCTGGTCCTCCTGGACTACCAGAACCACCATGACCACCAGGTCCACCTGAACTTCCGGGACCACCACCATAACCACCTAATCCACCTGCACCTCCAGCACCACCTCCTCCGCCAGCGCCTCCTCCAGCACCACCGCCGAAACCACCTGGACCTCCGGAACTACCAGGACCACCGCCGTAACCTCCATTTCCACCAGGATTTCCTGGACCACCACCATAACTGCCTAATCCACCAGCACCACCTCCGGCACCAGCACCACCTCCTCCACCTGCTCCCCCACCGGCACCACCGCCGTAACCACCTGGACTTCCTGGACGACCGCCGTAACCACCAGGACCTCCTGGACTTCCAGGTTTACCTCCATAACCGCCTAATCCACCTGAACCACCAGCACCACCACCGGCACCACCTCCGCCACCAGCGCCACCACCAGCACCACCGCCGTAACCACCTGGACCTCCGGGACTACCAGGACTTCCTGGAGCACCACCGTAACCACCATGGCCGCCTAATCCACCACCTCCTCCAGCTCCGCCACCGGCACCACCTCCGCCGCCAGCGCCACCACCAGCACCACCGCCGTAACCACCTGGACCTCCGGGACTACCAGGATTTCCTGGACCACCGCCGTAACCACCAGGTCCACCATGACCGCCTAATCCACCACCGCCTCCAGTACCACCTCCACCGCCATAACCACCTGGACCTCCGGGACTACCAGGACTTCCTGGGCCACCGCCATAACCACCGGGTCCTCCAGGTCCACCACCATGACCGCCTATTCCTCCCGCACCACCACCGGCACCACCTCCTCCGCCAGCACCACCGCCAGCACCACCACCGTAACCACCTGGACTTCCGGGACCACCAGGACTACCGCCATAACCACCATGTCCTCCAAGACCACCAGGACCACCACCAGCTCCGCCACCACCACCAGCACCTCCTCCACCGCCACCACCGGCACCGCCTCCATAACCACCAGGTCCACCCGGTCTGCCAGGGCTACCCGGTGAACCACCATAACCACCTAAACCGCCAGCACCTCCTGCACCACCACCAGCTCCACCACCGCCTCCGGCTCCACCACCTGCTCCACCTCCAGCACCACCGCCATAACCACCAGGTCCAACGGGTCCAGATCCCCCACTACTTGGGAAACGTATCGGTCCCTTACCATTAGGACCTCCATTACATGATGGTCCCGAACATGAGGGATTTGGATTAACAGCCGGATGCCAGTCTGAAGGACTACCCACCGAATTGCTATTCGGATCTGGTCCGGGTTGCCAAGATCCAGGTCCTGGATTTCCTCCTCCTCCTTGCAATGGCGGAACATATGATAAATTTGGCTGTTTAATGGGTTTTTGTGAATGACCCGGTCTTAGAGGTTTACCTGGACCTCCACCACCACCATTGAGAATGCCAGCTCCAACAGAGGCACCGGCGTAACCACCAGCACCGCCAGGTAGAAAAGGATTGGGTCGCCCACCATTGCCACAATTTCCTGAAGAGCAACCTGGACCTGAACCACCACCAGCTCCTCCACCAAGACCAACACCACCTCCTCCGCCAAAACCACCACCTCCACCAAAGCCGCCACCTTTTCCAATACCTCCGCCTGCACCATGTAATCCAGCAGCTGCTCCATGAATTTTGCCAACACCATCTAAAATGCCGCTAACAACTCCGGTGATACCCTGTTTGAGACCATTCAAATTGACTTCCTTGTGGATGCTGATACCACCACCGGGAAGAAAGGGATTCGAGCCAGGACCACTACCGCCTCCACCACCACCACCAGCACAACCACCATTACAACCACCACTACCTCCCGATGAATAGCTACTAGCAATTGCCGAGGCCGAAGCTGAAGCTCCACTATAACCTCCGCCGCCACCATAACCACCAGCGGAAACTGAAGTCGAAAAAAAACAAATTTTAAACTCCCTTTCTGTCCAACATTCTCCCCAACTTACCTATTTGACTAGATCCTATGACCATCAGAATTGTTGCAGTTTTTATCCAAGTTTTATATTTTGTGCTTAGAGCACGACGATTGGTATTCGTTCGCGCCATGTTCGAAATGCAATTGCAATAGGCCAGTAACCTATCAAGTCAATTTATAGTCAGAGACAAGTTTCGGTTTTTAATATTCAAGTCATGATAATTACTCCTGTCTCAGAATTGCTTAGATGAGCTGTTGGCTCGATACCATCTCTATTCTCACTTCATAACTAGAGACAAGTTTACAAAGACAAAAACAACAATTATCTGGACTCCACCTTTACACCTCTGCTTGAGGTATTTGGCTTCGTTTTTGTTGTTTTTGCATAGAAATGTGGGAAAACCCTTAACAAAATAATATTTTGTTTTCAAATAGAAGTTCGGTTTGTTTTAACACGATTCCCATTGAATACGACTATCAACGTCATTGTTGAATAAAAATTACAACAACAAAAAACCACAACATCTTCAAATGCCGGCATCACTTCAACTTCGATTCTACTTTTCTCCAAAAACACTGAGAATTTTTTTTGAGAGATGTAAATATGAGAAGTTGAATCATTTCAATAGGTCAACCGATCAATCGCTCGTGACAATTGCAGCGATGACGTCCGGGTCACTGGGAATATTGAAATTAATATGTGTTTTCCACTATCCACAATTGCGTGCAATATTCATAGTTTTATTTAAAACGGAGAGATTTATAAATCAATTAACTGGTAATGAAAATCCGGGCGGAACCTTGGTAATTGATCAGTTAATTGGGTGATTAATCATTATTTTAATTCGATCAAAAATGCAGTAATGAGTGTTTTGGCTAGATGGATTTTATGACTAATCCATGAAATGTATTCATCGGATACATTATAAAGTATAACTGCCTTACAACAATACCTCCTAAATATTCGACATTTAGGAATTTTGATCACGTTTTGTAACCGAATTGGCTATCAAATCTTCGTAACACAAATTATCCAAAATGGCCCAATTTTTATGGGACCCTATAAATTCCGATTCGAATTGGCTGATATTTTCGGTTCTCCCAGAGTAGAAAATCTTCATTTTAAAAATTATCAGTATTGACCCAAGTTTCGGAGATACTCCGAAACCCAAGTTTCGGAGATACTCCGAAACTTGGGTCAATACTATAGTACATTGCAAGGAGCTATAGTTTTTTTATATATAAGATTACTATTACTGATAATTGACCCTATATAACCAATTGATTCTTATTTTGGATCCATAAAAATTATTCCACCTATAATAGCATTAAGATTCGATAACACTGCGCGATAAGATTTGGAGGCTGAAAATTCCTATTGGATATGAAAAAATGGAGAGATTGCTTCATATCTTGATTTATATCCTATCTTGAATTATATCTATGAATGTATTTATACCCTAAGCCTTTTGGCTAAGGGTATATACACTTTTATATCCTGAGCCTTAAGGCTAATAAAGTATATACACTTTGGTACGGCAAAAATGTGCCGTACCAAAGTGTATATACCCTCATTAGCGGATTTTAGAACCCATTTTCTTTGGACCAAATCCGTTTCATACAATTTGGAGTCGATTAACAAATATTCGTCCGTAAGTATGAGTAAACGATTACATCCAAACTTTGCACATGGTAATATTTCTTCCACACATCGAAGGTAGGGAATATCGGTCCACTTCTCCTCATTCCTCCCCAACAAAATTGTGCGAACAATTTTGTGAACGGACTATCGGGTTTGAAACAAACATTATACAACCTGTTATCTTTACCAAGCCTAAAATAAAGTCTGAATGTGGGACCCGTTTTAATGGTATTTTCACAATTTTACCCGTGTCAAAACATCATTAAGAAACCTCTATTGACAGGAAATCAACAGGGTTCTAGTCAACCTGCTAGACTTTTGTAGTGGAATCCGGTTGTTACTTAAAATTCTTCATTTTGAGATCCATATGCGATTCCGAAATTCTAGTTTAGTGTCTGTTTAACCGGATGATCATGTTTTAGGCGGCTATGGTAGTGCACAGGGTAGACCTGGAGACGCAAACGGTGGATCAGTTTACCACTGTTTTTTAAGTGTGCAGTTGGTTGGTAGCTGGTGACAGATGCGACTTCCAAGAAGTCCTGGAAGGTTCTGGAGTTTGATGGTTGACTTATAATAACACCAGGCTCACTGAATGTCATGATGGTAGACTGACAGTATCGGGTGCTGGTAGTGCACTATGTCGGATTAATGTTAAGAGTGGTATGGCTAGAGAGCTGCTGGTATATCCGAGGAAGTCCAGGAAGACTGGCGGCTGTGATTATGGTGTGGATATTATGGCATACGGACTTGATCTGGTTGACAAGGCAGTTGTCGAAGAGGTTCAGATAATCATGGTGGTAGTCGTATTAGTGCATTAATCAAGACAGTGTAACCGGAAATTTTGGAGGACCTTTCTATGGTCCTCCAAAATTCTATGGATAAAAAACCTACCATAGACAGACGTTTTACTATTAGACTTCTGGAGATATTTCTATCCCTTCTTTCGATTTTTTTCAGAAATAAGATCATGTCATGTGATATACCGTGTGATGGAGGCATATTGGGGCGTGGGCACCAAGTTCAGAGTTTGTTGTTGACAATCGGTCAAAAATATGCTCGAAAATGTTTGAAATTTATAAAATCGCCACAGGTGACGTATGATGGATATAGTATGCGTATCGGCCATTTTGAGTATTCGAACGCGAGTCATATTCAACGAAAGTTGTACTTTAAAAAGTAGTCATATGGCGACTGTTCCGTTTGAGTAACTAGGACCGTAAATTCTGTGTCGTACATCACATTTTTTTTTTGCCTCAATTATTCGGAGACATACGAAAAACTAAAAAAACACGAAAAACTCAAGGAGAAAAGATATTCAACGAAGGAAATGTGGAGGTAGTGCTGATGGTGCAGCGTGTTCTCGCCAAATTGTCCAAATTGAAGGTCTTATCAGTATTTCTCAACCAAAGTCACTGTGATATGGTACTTCGAATTTTTGAATTCCTATTAAATCTTTCTACTAACAATTGTCAATAGTGGTAATATTTTAAGGGTAGCCCATTTAACATTTTCTCCCATTATTCGGTATGAGATTGTTGGGTTACATTTTCAACGAAAGCGTGTTTAATTTGATATTTTGGGTTCCTATTGGGACCAAATCATCCTACCAAAAATTTGTCAAAATTCGGTCTATAATTTCTTAGTATAGCCTCCATTTTACGGTACCTCAAATTTTCTATATTTTGAGCATTTTAGATATGTTTTCAGGTGTCAGGTGTCATTTTCGGTATGTTCATGTTCGTACAATTTTGAAGCAATTTACCAGGGCACAGCTGCCTTATAAAAATCCTGAAACCCCATATTAGGTATTTTGAATGTCCCCTTATGGTGGGTTAAGTTCGGCCTGGGCGAACATAATGCAGTTTGTTCTTGGCACTTGTTTTTTTTTATACCCTTCACCACACTGTGGTACAGGGTATTATGTCTTTGTGCATATGTTTGTAACAGGCAAAAATAATCGAGATAGACCCATGGTTCCTTTTGAGAATATGCATAGAATCACTTTCTGAGTCGATTTACGCATGTCCGTCTGTCCGTCCGTCCGTCCGTCCGTCTGTCCATGTTAAATTGTAAACAAAGTACAGGGCGCATTTATGATCCGAATTGGATGAAATTTGGCATAGGTCACTTATTTGGCCCAAGGACGAACCCTATTGAAATTGGGAAAAATCGGTTCAGATTTAGATATAGCTCCCATATATATATTTAACCGATTTAATGTAAACAGTCCCTATATAACTTTCGATTTGCACGAAATTTAGTACAGCCTAATCATTTAGGTCTAGAATGATGTCTGCCAAGTTTCGTGAAAATCGGTCCAGATTTAGATATAGCTCCCATATATAGTTTCGTCCGATTTCATGTAAATGGTGCCCCAAAGTCTCTATATATCTTTCGATTTGCACGAAATTTGGCATAACGTACTGAATTGAGTCTAGAATGGTGTCTGCCCAGTTTCAAGAAAATCGGTCCAGATTTAGATATAGCTCCCATATATAGTTTCGTCCGATTTCATGTAAATGGTGCCCCAAAGTCCCTATATATCCTTCGATTTGTACGAAATTTGGCATAACGTACTTAATTGGGCCTAGAATGATGTCTGCCAAGTTTCATGAAAATCGGTCCCGATTTAGATATAGCTCACATATATAGTTTCGTCCGATTTAATGTAAATGGGGCCCCAAAGCCCCTATATATCTTTCGATTAGCACGAAATTTGGTACAGCCTAATCATTTAGGTCTAGAATGATGTCTGCCAAGCTCCGTGAAAATCGGTCAAGATTTAGATATAGCTACCATATATAGTTTCGTCCGATTTCATGTAAATTGTGACCAAAATCCATATATATCTTTCGATTTGCACGAAATTTGGCATAACGTACTGAATTGAGCCTAGAGTTATGTCTGCCAAGTTTCGTGAAAATCAGTCCAGATTTAGATGTAGCTCCCATATATAGTTTCGTCCGATTTCATGTAAATTGTGCACCAACATCCATATATATCTTTCGATTTGCCCGAAATTTTGCACAACGTACTGAATTGAGCCTAGAGTGATGTCTGCCAAGTTTCGATAAAATCGGTCCATATTTCTATATAGCTCCCACATATAGTTTCGTCCGATTTCATGTAAATGGTTCACCAAAGTCGCTATATATCTTTCGATTTGCACGAAATTTGGCATAACGTACTGAATTGAGCCTAGAGTGATGTCTGCCTTGTTTCGTGAAAATCGGTCCAGATTTAGATATAGCTCCATTTTATTATAGATTGATTTTATGTAATTGACGCACCAAGGAACCAATAGGAACAAAACGTTCTAAAGTTAGTATAACCTAACCTGTGACAAGTTTGTTTGAAATCGCTTAATATGTGGATATAGCTTACATATATTTTTTCGCCCGATATCAAGCAAATTGGGCATCATACTCCTCATGTTAGTCAGATTGACATCAAATTTTGCACAACGTACAAAATTGAGCATAGAATTAC